GGGGGGGGGGGGGGGGGGGGGGGGTACTCATAGTCGTGCATGCCGTAGTCGTTAGACCATTGACCTCGCATCCCTACAAAGCCGGGACGGAGCACGCCGGGTTCTCACCGGACCAGACTAGCATATCACCCGAGAGAGAGGGGCGTACTCCTGTGTTGCGTGCCTTACTCGTTGTTTCGGACCATTGACCACGCGCCCTCGCGAGGACGGAGGGCAGGGGGGGGGGATGCAGCAGGTTGCTTGCTTGTGTAAGGGGTTGCTTGTCTTGTCGGTATGCAAGCGTGTGCCTTTGTTGGTGGTAGCTTGTGCGCTCGTGTCTCGGTCGAGTTGTCATTATTTTGTTTTTCCCATGCACTACTGCTGTGTCCCATGTCTTGTTGTGGTGTTGTTGTAGTACTGCTGGTTGGAACGGGGCCCGTGGAACGAATGCCTCTCTCTCTCTCTCTCTCGCTCTCTCTCTCTCTCTCTCTCTCTCTCTCTCTCTCTCTCTCTCTCTCTCTCTCCGCGCTTTTTTAGTTGTACGACCTCCGTCTGCTTGAGCGTGGGTACCATCCATCTCCTGCTCTCGCGCTCCGTTTTTCCCTGGCCCCCTTACGGTTGCTTATTGTCTCACGGTCTTGTTCTCACGAGGCAGGTGTTGGCTTCGAACCCTGGTCGCTCGGTTGTCTTCGTATCTCACGTTGCGGTTTTTTTCCCTTTCCCATGTCGGTAACGCGCGTGCTTCTTCCCTCCCCCCGACAAAACATTCGCGGTGAAAACATTCGTAAAACGACAACGACAACAACGACTGCACGACGGCGGCGACGGTGGAAACGAATGGGCTCGAACGAATGATTCCGCAGGGCTTCCTTCGAGCAGGCGATCGACGCTTGCGTTTCCCACCCGGACGGCCTTCAGCACGCCGGCGACCTCATCTCCAGGATGAAGAGCGTTGGCCACGATCTACAGGTAAGTTAGGTTGGGTGGAAGACTACTGCCTGTTGGCTGTGGCCCCCTAAGCGTTCTGTATCTAAAGCCCCGATTTTTTTTCGGTCTTTCGTCGAGCCTGGAGTGCGAAAAAGTCAAGTCCGGTTTCAAGTTTTGATATTAGGTGTGTATTCGTTTACAACAACGCATTTTGCCTTTGTTGATTGGTACTTGCAAGGGGCCACGAGCGGCTGGAGGCCAAAGAAATATTTACCAGGTTTTTTCCTAGCCCTCTTGTGATGATGACGGGTGTATTGCGTGCTTGAAGGGGTGCATCACGTGAGTACGAAAGATGCGATGGGTGCACACTTTGCATGACTTGATGACGCTGTTGGCCCTTCACTTTGCTGCGCGCGCGAATGGCCTGTGGTAGTCTGTAAGCCGACCACTACTACTAGTCTGCGCGACACACAACGAAGACGCTTTTTTTTTTTTTTACAAACGCACAACATGTCCATCCCTGCCGGAGGTACAAGAAGCCCCCTGGACCGTTTTTGACCCTTCCAATTGATATTTCGTTCTAACTGCAGGCCGACCACTACAACGTCCTCATCCGCGGCTTCGGGGACGCGCGGAACCTGGGGGCCGCGCTGAACGTCTTCCAGACAATGCGGGAAGGTGTGGCGGTCGGGGGGCCCGGGGGTGGGGCGCGAAGCCGCACGCTGGGGTGGGAGGTGGAGGAGGACATGTTCGCGGCCCTTGTAGGAGCTTGCACCAGGAGGTACGTGCGACGGTACGGTATATAGTAATACGGTTCCTTCCATTTTTTGTCGGAGCATGAACCCCAGGAGGCACAACGGTAGTCCTAGTTGTTCCATTTTGTCATCTGGAGGTGCAGCGGTAGTAGTAAATAGTAGTACGGTTGTTCGATTTTTGTCGGACCTTGTACCAGGAGGTAGAACCGTAGTAGAAATATTTTTCGATTTTTGTCGGACCTTGCAGCGGGAGGTACAGCGGTAGTTGTGTGGTTGTTCCATTTTGTCTAAGCATGCGCCAGGACGTGTAGCGGCAGTAGGATAACACTACCTTCGGTTGTCCCAGATGTTGGAGCACGGGGGGTGGTGGTTTTGTTGTCGATTTGGATCGCGCCAGTGTTCGATCTTTGGCTTTCAGTTTTTTTTTACGATCGCGACAACCCCGACGCGCCGCGCCTTCAAAGATGGCCGTCTAGCCCCACCATTGTCTAAATCGTACGAGAACGACGGTCCTCTATTGAATCGAAAGGATGATGACTACCTCCTGGTTCATCCTCGTGAAGCGTGACCTGGGCCGGCGAAAACCCGGCATATCGCTCCTCCGTCCCGGCGTTGTAGGGATGCAAGGTCAATGGTCAAACGCCTACGACATGCGTTTACATGAGCACACACACCCCCGATGTCCCCCTCCTCTACACTCTGCGTGCCGTCCGCCACTATTTTTTGCTGTTGCTTCTGGTGCTGCTACCGCGTCTTTGTCGCTGTGGCTGTGGTTGGACGACGTGACGGTTTCACGTGACGGTTTCACTACGTGACGGTTTCACGCAGCGGGGAAGCGGAGAACGTGTCTGAGGCTATCGGATTCCTGCGGATGAACGGGGTCAACCCTCCGAGCGAGATCCTCAGCTACCTACAGAACGAAGAGGTGACACAGAGAAAGATATATATTTATGTAGAGAGAGAGAGAGGGAAAAGCCGCGGGACGCAGCCACGCTTAAGTGAGGAAACTTGGGCATAGAGAGGGGGGTCTGTGATGACATGCCGTGTGCACAACGCTGTGACGGTGATTTTGGACGTGGGTATACCGCGTGTGGTGGCTTTTTTGACGTGTCGTTTGTCTGCCAGCGGTGGTGATGCCATGCGATGACGCCCATGGTGGTGAGGCCTGTAAAGTACCTCTACCACTGCTGTTTGTTTTGTTTAGTTCGGTGACGAAGACGGTGACGGTGACGGTGACGCAAGATAACCCCACCTCCCCTCTCTCTCTCTCTCTCTCCGTTTCCCCCTCCTCGCTCGGCCCTTGCGCCCACCACACCGCACCCCGCCACACCAAACCGTACCGCACCAAACCGCACCAAACCGTACTGCGCCAAACCAAACCGTACCAAACCGTACCAAACCGCACCGCAATGCATCCCACCGCACCCCACCAAACCGCACCGTTCAACACCGCACTCCACCCCACCGTACGCCACAACAACAGTTCGAGTCAGAGCTTTACGACGAGATCTTCGGGGAGAAGGATCGCCTAGCGGGCAAGGCCAAGGAGCAGCGCTCCCGAGGCCGCAAGTACGGCACGCACGCGCTCGCCGCTCACCTCATCGGTGGCAGCGGTGGAGGGATGGTTTCTGGCGCGGGGGGGAGCAGTAGCAGTGGCGGAGAGGACGGCGGTGAGGTCGGCGGCGGCGAGCGGGGGGGGGCGGCGGGGGGTGCTTCCGCTGGTCGTCTTCGCGGGAACGGGGCGGCAGGGAACAACAAGAAGAGGTTTGTCTTGTCCCTCGTGTGTGTATTTTTTGTTGCATACGGGTCGGTGTTGTGTGTTGTGTGTATGTGTGTTGTGTGTGATGGGTTCAAAAGGAGACGGTAGAGTGTGTGTGTGTGAGTAATGGACATGAGTAGACGGGTGCGTGTGTGTATTGGGTGGAGGCAGACGGTAGAGTGGCAATAGGAGTGTTTGTGAGTCTATTGGGTATAAACAGACGGTAGAGCGCCGGTAGGAGAGAGTGTGGGTCTACTGAATAATTGCAGACGGTAGAGTGTCGTGGGGATCTGCTTGGAGGCCCGAAAAGAGCATGTAGACCGACCTTCTGCTCAACGCTGCTGTGCATGTGGTCGTTTGGCGCCTCTTTGCACACATTCGGTTGGCGGGTGGGGCGATGTCTTGAAGTTCAACCCCCTTCGCCGCCCCCCATCCTCCTCGCTCCCACCATCAGACACTTGACCCGAAAAAAGACATGTGGGATGATGGGGACGTCAATTTTGGCGGCTCGGTTTTCCATCGACTCTCGATGGCATTGGAGCGCGCCTACAATCTTCTGAATGAAACAACGACAACGCCGCTTTTTTTGGAAAATTGCCATTGGTCCGATGACAAACAACTCTTACGTGGTGCAGTTTCTCACCTAAATGCGAAAACGTTGATTCGAGGAGAACTTACAAACACTATTGTTCCCATGACAAATTCTCACGTACGTGTTTCGACACGACGACGATGACGGGGGTGGAAGGGAAGAAGAAGAAACGTTTGCCGAGGCGGTGAGGGACATCCTCCGGCGGGCGGAGGAGCGGCGCAAGAGGGTGGAGCGGGTGGAAGAGGACGGCGGGGCCTTCCCGGCCAACCCGCGGCACCCGGTCGGCTGGGTCGGAACGTGAGTGAGAGAAGCCGCTGCTACCGCCCGTCGCCGCTTTCCTGCCGCTTTCCCTCTGTGTTCGCAACCACAACATGATTTTTTTGGCGATTGGTACTGCGTGTTTTTTTGTTTTGACGGTCGTGTTCGCTACAGCAGCTTGTAGGTTTGTTTTCGACGAGGTGTATAGCTAGGCGTGTCACCCGTATCCCCGCTGTTGCTTGATCACCGCATGGATTTGCATACAATTTTTGGTATTGGGTTAGCTGTTGTGTCTTCGAAACCCCCGTACTTGATGGGTGTGACGCAAAGAAGACATCGTATAGCCACAACACAGCCACTGGCAGCCTTTATCTCTATCTGCGGTGCCCCCCGGACATCATTGTAGCGGGCACGGCAGCTCTTGTGCACCCGCCCATAACATCTTGGAATCTCAGAAGCGGCTGCTTGACCCCCACTCATCGAACGCACCACAAGCAGGGGTCTAGACTACATCCATCCACAACAGACGGCAAGCACGTCCGAAACCTCGCACGATGGAACGAAAAACCCGCGTTTTTTTTTTTTTTTGGGACAGTTTTACGGAGACCTTCACCCACGCGGAGCGGAAAGAGGAGGCCCTCAAGCGGCGGGCCGGAGAAGCGCGCTCCCGAGAGCGCCGCCTGAAGCGCCGGGAGGCCGAGCGACTAGCCGCAGTAGCGGCAGGAGGAGGAGGAGGAGGAGGGGCGCCCCCTGCGGGTCGTAGCGGCAGTAGCGACGACAGCAGTAGCGCCAAGACGGTCGCCATCCCGAAGAGCATCGACAAGCCCAAGGGGGGCTTCGACGCTGCGGCGGAGAGTGCCGGCGGCGACGGCGCCCGACGGCGCGGGCGGGTAGGAGCGCTCTCGGCCCACAGGCGGCGGGGCGGCGGCGGGGGCAAGGGCGACGGCCGAGCGGCGGCGGTGGCTGCCGGTTCGAGGCTGGAGCCTCGGCGGAAGCCGGTGCTGGTGAAGACCGGCGGCGGCGGCAGCGGGGTCCAGGGGTCGCTCTCGGAGGAGCCGTCGCCGGTGCTGGAGGCCGTCGTGGCCGGTCTGAGGCGGAAGGGGAGCAACAGCAAGGGGAGGAGCAGGAGGGGCAGCGGTCTGAGCGCGGTGCCGTCGCAGCCCATGGTCAAGAGGAAGGAGAACGGTGGGGGCAACGGGAAGGG